ACATTTGGTAGCCCCTTGTGTTAAAGTTTACAGTTTTATACGTCCATATGCGAGAGATCATTTTCAGTAATGTAGCGAATAAACAAATAGTTTCGAAATAACTAACAATAGATTTTCAAATCTATTATTACTTTCATATTGAAAGGGACTTAGCTAATAATATTAAATTAGAAAAGTTTCTTAGTGTATTTGCCCAAAAAAGCAATCGTTTAAATCAGCGGTTCTCAACCTTTTTGAGTTCGCAACCCCATATAATGTCRCCAAGATGTCTAACGACCCTTTTGTAATGTGAGCATTAAACAATTAAACAAACTGTTATTATTGTATTTATTTGTGTATATATTTTACAAAAAAAAAAGCATATTATATACATTTGAATATTTTTGTACATGCTTTTCTTTAACTCACAATGTTTCATTCATTTCTGCTGTCATCAAATCTTGCGAGTTCAATTTAAATCACTTCTACATGACCTAGGAGGCTCAAATTTTGTATGGAGGTCTAGGGTCGGTTACAATACATGACCCCGTTGTCAATTCTCGAAAAATTAAAAAAAAAAATTTAATTATTAGATTGGTGGCACTATTCTTTTTATTTYTGTCATCTATGAACGTTAAGGTTTTTAGTGATTTTGCTTAGAAATAGTAAATTTGTTTATTTGTCGTCATGGAGCGCTATACAATAAAAAATAAAAAAAATTAAAAAAATGAAATAATTTAAAATTAAAAAYTGTGTTCTTTATGAAACACCCTTTATTAATTCTTTAAACATGAGAAATAAAGAGACCGCAACTTAACGAAAAAGGCGCCTTGAAGGAGCTCATCTAAAGTATCAAGAAACCAAGGCTAACGAGGACTCAGAAGCTGAAACGTGCAAGATTAGACAAAAATCGTCAAGCCCAAACAAATTTAAGAGCTAAAGAGACGTCATCAATAAAAAATAAACGCCTTTTACAACAACGCGAAAACAGGATTCAACAACGGGACGTAGAAACACCTCCTCAGAAAGAAGCCCGGAAGCAAGCGGAACATGAATGGTATTTACAACGTTGTGCAGCACAGACTCCCCAAGATCGAGAAGTCCATATGGAAAATATACGCAGACAGCGGCAGGAACGTTCAGCTAGCGAAAAAGAGTTTGAAAATGCAATTAACAAGTTTGTACAWAAACGATGCTACCCAAATCAGGTTTCAACATTAAAATTTTCTAATTCTAAATCTACTTATTTGCCAAATGTATTACTTAAAAAAAAAAAAACTCTTACTTTGTCCTCGCTGCAAAACTCATCTGTCTAGTCGAAAAACTACTGCACCTCCAAAAGCATTTTTGAATAAACTTGATCCTGGCATTATACCAAATGAAATCCTCCTTCTTTCACAGGCAGAACAACGATTACTGTCGAGAATAATACCATTTGTTAAAATTATTAAGTTTGATGGCTTATATGGACAGTGGGGTTTCAAAGGCCAGGCAGTTCTTTTTGCA